AGAATCTCTTATAGAATGTTATTTGCCTACATTCTGCTTCAGGTACCTATACAATGAAAACCCTTGATGAACAAAGATGCAGCATTTAGTAATAACTGATACTTACAAATACAAACCAATGCATAACGACCGGCAAACGTAGAAACTCTGTTTGAAACATGTGAGCTGAGAGAGAGGCTTCAAGGTGATCAGGCTCGGTTACGGGTGTACACAGGATACACAGGATTTGTTTTTCTTTCTCCTCTCCCTGCCTGCACATGGCAGGCAGGCCCAAAAAGTACCAGCTATGACATCATAGAAGTGTCATAGGGGACAGGGCCCAAACCCTGTTTGTGTTCGTTTCTGATTGGCACAAGCAAAGTTTACACCAAGTAGGGGAGCAGGTGCCTCAAAGTCTGGCTTCGCCCCCAAAAGGTGAGGAAATGCATATTGTTTTAGAATGCGTGCAACACTGAATGACAAAAGAAGAGGCCAGGGCAATACCGGTACGGGCAAATTTTACAGGATGCAGACAGGAACTCATCTCAACAAGACCATTGAAGGACAAAGCTATTTTATTGCTTTGAAATATTGGCCCAAAGTGTAATTAGATGGGTTTTTTTACTGCATTTAAGAAATCAGGATGCTGTGGTACAGACTCCTTAGCTGTATCTTTCCTGTCCCTCGAGTTTTAAGAAGGCACTGTTCAGAGCTCATTCTGTCTGGTGGCGCTGGCCCAGGAGGGTAAGATCAATGCTTAGGGATGGTGATCTTTTTCTTTGCAAGGTGTGGCAGCTTGGTTCTTCTTCACCCAACTTCACTTTGGAAGGCCATGAAAAAGGAGTGAACTGCATTGATTATTATAGTGGCGGAGACAAGCCTTACCTCATTTCAGGAGCAGATGATCGCCTTGTCAAGATTTGGGATTACCAGGTACAATGTGTTCACCTCTTCGTGAACACTTTAGTAGATTAATTTGGTTGGGCACCATCAGCAGCAAAGGCATGGAAATTGAGGGAAAGGGATGGAGGAGAAAAGTATTCTGGAGTTTCCATGTCTTTGAATAGAAAATAGAGAGATTTTGTGATGTATTTTCTGGAAAAACAGTACGTTAAAACTAGTACGATAAAAATTATGAGTAACATTCTGTTTTACTGGCTGTGAAATATAGAAATCATCTTAAATCTGAATGTTAAGTTAACTTTGTCTTGAATAATATTGGATTATTTTCTTGTAGAGTAGTGCATCCCATTTTTTTTATTTTGTGACCAATCACCTTGCAATGGATTGGGTACCCACGTGCTCTGTCTATCCCCTTACTGCAGGGGTTGGCAAACTTTTTGGCCTGAGGGCCACATGTGGGTATGGAAATTTTATGGCGGGCCATGAATGCTCACAAAATTGGGGGTTGGGGTGCAGGAAGGGGTGAGGGCTCCGCCAGGGGGTACGGGCTTTGGGGTGGGGCTCAGGTTGAGGGGTTGGGGTGCAGGAGGGTGCTCCAGGCTGGGACCAAAGGGTTAGGAGGAGGTTGGGGTGCAAGCTCCAGGTGGCGCTTACCTCAAGCACCTCCCAGAAGCAGCGGCATGTCCTCTCTCTGGCTCCTACGCTGAGGTGTGGCCAAGCAGTTCTGCACGCTGCCCTGTCCACAGGCGCTGCCCCTGCAGCTCCCATTGGCCGTGATTCCCGGCCATTTGGAGCTGTGGGGGCAGGAGAAGTGTGCAGAGCCCCTTGGCTGTCCCTATGCGTAGGAGTCAGAGTGGGGACATGCCACTGCTTCTGGGAACCACGCAGAACGGGGTAAGCCCCCGACCCTGCTCCAAGGCTGTAGCCCCGGAGCAGGGCAAGCCCTAGACCCCACTCCCCGGCGGGAGGTCGAGGGTCAGATTAAAACGTCTGGAGAGCCGGTTGCGGCCCCCGGAACATAGTTTGCCCATCCCTGCTTTACTGTATGTCCAGAGAATAATTGTCTCCTTTTGTATCCACTTGTTCTTTCCAATCATTATGTCTATTTTCTTCTTGTTGTTGCTTTCCATCTTTCTGTTCTTGCTTATGTTCCTTGTCCCATCCATCTGTGACTTCCTGCTCCCTCTCCTCCCACTAGCTAGGTATGTGTTGCTTGGGTATTGATGGGGGAGTTATCCATTCATAAGTCTGTGGCCTGAGCTGAATGCTATAGGAGCAGAGAAGAAAAGGTTGGGCCTGTGGGACAAAGATAGCACTAGCCTTGGTTTTCCCTTGTGACTCTATGCAAATCTATGTTTGGCTTTCAGGATTTGAAGCAAAAAGCACAGGCACTAATGAGTCTTGTATTAATATATTGAGCCACCTTGCTCTCAACTAAGTGTTTTGTAGATAGGAACCCAGTTAGCTTAGGAAACAGAGAAGCAGCTACACTAATGGGAACAAATTCATTTTTGGTGGTTGGGGGTTTTGTCTTAAGACAGACTCTAGAGTATGCTGTTCTTTGAACACATTGAAGCAGAAGTAAAGGTTACAGAAAGAAGGCTAGAAACATGCTTACATAATTCTTATATTAATTTTCTTTGAAGATAGTGAACTGAGAAAATTGCAGTGTTAATGTTTTGTTTCCTTGATCTTAACTCTTCTTACAGAATAAAACCTGTGTGCAAACACTGGAGGGACATGCTCAAAATGTATCCTGTGTCAGCTTCCACCCTGAGCTGCCAATCATAATCACAGGATCAGAAGATGGTAACTTTAAGTTTTCTGACACTTAATATACATGAACAGTAGGATGGGTTACATACCCTTTTGTAGGCTTGGAAGGATTAGTTTCCTTGTTCTCTTTTTTATTTATATGGCTATAGAACTGGTTACTATTGGTTTTAATTCCCTTTGCAAGGTCCAGCTCTGCTTGGCTTTTGGCAGTTCACTTTATCCCTACACTTTCTGACCTTCAAGAGCTAGCTTTCCTTGATCCATCCCATGTAGGCTTTTTGCTTTCTCTTAATCACTGGTTTGAGATGCTTGCTCATCCAGGTTGGTCTGCAGCCCTTCCCTCTGAATTTTTCCCCTTGCTTGGGATGCAGGCTTCAGATAGTTTCTGCAGCTTTGACTTAAAATAATTCCAATCTTTCTCCACATATCCTTGAGTACTTCTTTTGTAAACTCCAAAAAACGGTGAATTTAACCCACGGGAGGGGGTGGAAGGACATGGCTAAGAGGAAGGCAGGAACTGCAGGAGTACTGCTGCTGAGACGCCTCAGGCATCTGCAAGCAGTGAGGCCCCAGTCAGTTCAACTCCATCTCACTATCACAGCCATGTGAGAGCTGCCTGCCAGCTTGGAGCTCCTACTTTCTCCTCCCTGTGATCCCTCAAGCTCCCACCAAGAGATTCTTCTGTGCTGATTTCCCTCTTTTGGCCTCTGTGACACTAGTGGGAGATACCAAATATCCCCCCAGCATCAGTGAGACTGCTGGGATTGAAAGATTAAGGTTCTATTTCACTAAAGTTTAAATTACAGATGTTAGTTTCATATGTGGTCTTTGGATTTTTGTTGTTAAATGCCATAATGTTTAGTAGCCCTACTGCTGAGAGAGGAGACTGAAATTCCATATATCTTTTTCTCCAGGAACTGTCCGCATTTGGCATTCGAGCACGTACCGCTTGGAAAGCACTCTCAATTATGGCATGGAGAGGGTGTGGTGCGTGGCCAGTCTGAGAGGATCCAATAATGTGGCTTTGGGTTATGATGAGGGCAGCATTATTGTTAAGGTATCTTAATATTAAATTGGAAAGCATAAATGAAAATGGTGGCCCATTGCCACAAACTTCTGTTGCTAAACTATTCTTTGATACCTCTGAAGTGATTTAAAAAAATGGGCACTTCAATTTATTGGCATATTCCAAAAGCGCCATAAGTATTTATTAAATTTGAACAACTTAATGGGCTGAGGATGCTTGTTTTTTACTATCTTTATATGCTGTTCTTATTAGCTTGGCCGTGAAGAACCTGCCATGTCTATGGATTCGAATGGAAAAATTATTTGGGCTAAACATTCGGAGGTGCAACAGGCTAACTTGAAAGCTATGGGAGATGCTGAAATTAAAGATGGAGAAAGATTGCCACTGGCTGTAAAGGATATGGGGAGCTGCGAAATCTATCCCCAGACCATTCAGCACAACCCTAATGGACGGTAATTGGTTTTTGTTTGTTTGTTTTGTTTTTTCCATTTCAGAATAGAATTCTTGACATTTTTAAATTTAGAAATACGCCATACAAGAAAAATATACCTTCCAGATGACTGATCTACTTCTAGTGATGCCCATTAGTCTGTGCACACAATTTCCACACCAAAACATTATTTTTCTCAATCTTTAGGTTTGTAGTAGTATGTGGGGATGGTGAATACATCATTTACACAGCTATGGCTTTGAGGAACAAGAGTTTTGGTTCTGCACAGGAGTTCGTATGGGCACATGATTCTTCAGAGTAAGTGTGGTTTTTATTTTGCGTTGTATTAAACAAATGTATTTCTGCTAATTTCCAGACTACCTAAACTATAAACTGGTCTGAAAGTTAAAAGCTGGATTGGGTAACGAGCATTCTATAGCTTGGATTACATGAAACTTTTATATATTGAATGCACTTTTAATTTTGAAGAAATATCAAATATAGTAGCCTACATGTCTAGTAGTTTATAGCAGTTCCTTATGGCTGTGCAGTATAACATTTTGCTATCTCGTTGTCTAGATAATTGTTTTGTAATGGTGCATTTTTCTCTGTGTATTTAGGTATGCAATCAGGGAGAGCAACAGCGTTGTAAAGATATTTAAGAACTTCAAAGAGAAGAAGTCCTTTAAACCTGATTTTGGTGCAGAGGGTGGGTTTTATTTGTATTTCCTAAGTCTGCTAGATTACAGATATTAACTCTTTTGCTGAAAAAATGTTTGCTAGTGAAATAGTAATTCCACATTTGCTATTCTTTGCAGGTATCTATGGAGGTTTCTTACTGGGTGTCAGATCTGTTAATGGCTTGGCATTTTATGACTGGGATAACACAGAATTGATACGCAGAATTGAAATTCAGCCCAAACATGTGAGTTTTGTCAGATGCCACTCTGAGTGTATGTATATAACCTGTCATATCAGGGGTGCATTTAGAATATATTACAGGCTTTTCTGAATTTGTCAATCTCATGAAGCTGTTAAAGATAAAAATTATATTTTAATTTTTTATATTTTTTGTATCAGAAAGACTCTTACGTAGACACTGTCTCTTAAACCCCTACACTGGATGTGCAAATGAACAAATATTTTGATAAAACGTGTGTATCCTCCTTTATTAGCACAGCACCTTAAAACCTAAATGCTATTTCTTGTTTTTATTTAGATTTTCTGGTCTGACTCGGGTGAGCTGGTCTGTATTGCCACAGAGGAATCATTCTTCATTCTGAAATATTTGTCTGAAAAAGTTGCAGCGGCGCAAGAAACTCATGAGGGAGTCACTGAAGATGGTATTGAAGATGCCTTTGAGGTAACTGCTGTTAAGAGTGGGAATGCAGTTAGGGCAGTGCCCAGTGAAGTCAATGTCTAAAAAGAGAACTTATCATTTTTCCACTTTAACTCCTACAGCATTGTGTTCTAATACAGGGGTTCTCAACCCCTTTCTTTCTGAGCCCACCCTGCCCCCCAACACGCTAAAAAAATTCCACAGCCCACCTGTGCCGCAACTGTTTTTCTGCATATCCAGTAGATTAAAAGCCAGGGCCAACGTTAGGTAGTAGCAAGCAGGGCTGTTGCCCAGGGCCCCACACCACAGAGAACCCCATGAAGCTACGTTGCTCTGGCTTCGACTTTCAGCCCTTGGTAGGGCTCGGGCTTCGGCTTTTTGCCCTGGGCCCCAGCAAATCTAACACCGGCCCTGCTCTTTGGTTTATTTTGGCGGACCCCCTGAAACCTGCTCGTGGGCCCCGGACTCCTGATTGAGAGCCACTGTTCTAATATACTGTATATACTTGTTCATAAGCTGAATATTTTTGGTAAAAAAGTGACGCATCAAAGAGCGGGGGTCGGCTTATAAACGGGTCTACACCAAAATTTGATGATTTTAAAATCTATGGAATCATTGAATTGAATATCTAATACATTGTCGTTTTGTTTACCTGGAGTGTTTGCAGGCATGCAGCCCCTCAGCTCCCATAGACGCAGTTCGCCGTTCACTTCCCGCAACTCCCATTGGCTGGGAACAGTGAACTGTGGCCACAGGGAGCTGAGGGGCTCCAGGCCTGCAGATGCTCCAGGTAAACAAAAACGTCCCACCAGTGACTTACCCTGACAGGCTGGGAGCCAAAGTTTGCCGACCCATTTATTGATGTCAATACTGCAGCTTTTTAAAGTTGCAAAGGCTTTGTTTAGTGGACTAGATTGGCTTGAAATGGACCTCATAAGTCTTGAGCCAATACGAAAATATAACGTGCAGAATTGATGGAATCTCTAATAAAATTGAAATAGCTTGTTATCCCTACAGACATGCCAATCTACAGGGATACTTTGTTTATTTCAAAGAACAATAATTTGACAGTGATAAAGCAGGTGACATTCCTATATAAAGTCCTACAAAATCTATAACTACAATAATAATCTATTTTCATGCTAGTATTTAAAATGAACAATGGTGAAATCAAAAGAAAAAGGTCTTCTAACGTTCAAACATAAAGTTGTTGAATATGCAGAAGCAAACAATAATTGCGTCGCTGCTCGTGAATTCTGTATCAATGAGAAGCAAGTAAGAGAATGATGAAAAAAAACCCACTAAAAGACATGCCAAGAAGCAAGAAAAAATGTCAAACGAGGTGCGCTTCATTTCCTGAGCTAGAGAAAGATCTCAATAATTGGGTTGTTGAATGTTGACAAAAGGGGTACATTGTCACTAGAACTGGAATTCGTCTGCATGCTCTGCAAATGTCGAAAGACTGTCAATAAAGCTATAAGTGTTTGTCGCATCAGCGGGTTGGTGTACTCGCTTCATGAACCGACATGGTCTCTTGTCTTCGTCAGCGAACAAAGACAGCGCAAAAGCTGCCTAGAGATCTGGAAGAAAAAATCGAATCTTTCCAAAGGTTTATTATAAAATATTGAAAGGAATATGCATTTGAACTGTAACAAATAGGAAATATGGGCGAAACACCAATGACATTCGATCTCCTGAGCAACAGAACGGTAACTGGTGTTGGTGAAAAAACAGTTCTAATTAAAACCACTGGCCAAGAAAAAATCCATTTTACAGTGGTTTTATCATGTTTGGCAAATGGATCAAAGCTCCCTCCTGTTATTTTTAAAAGAAAAACCTTGCCCAAAAACATGAAATTTCCTGCTGGTGTCATTGTACGTGCACACGAAAAGGGATGGATGGATGAAAGTGAGACTATTGAATGTGGAATAAGAGCCCCGGAGCACTTTTCAGGAAAGCTGCTATGCTCTTTTGGGACATGTTCAGAGCACACAAGATGGATGAGGTGAAAAATGTGGCCAAAAATATGAAAACTTCTTTGGCTGTAATACCTGGAGGCTTAACTTCAGTTCTACAACCACTTGATGTCAGCCTGAACAAACCCTTTAAAGACAGGCTACGCAAAATGTGGTCTGAATGGATGTGCTAAGGCATGGCGAAGTTGACAAAAGGTGGGAATCTTATGAAGCCCAAAATCAATCTGCTCGCCCCGTGGATCAAGGACGTGTGGGTGTCCATTTCCCTTGGAAATGTAGAAAAATCATTTAGGAAATGCTGTATCAGCAATGCACTCGACAGGTCAGAAGATCATCCAATGCCATATTGATGATGACACAACAGAGGCTGATGATGAGAAGGAATCTGACTCTGAAGACAACACTCCCGACATCTACGATGACAATGCAGGTGCAACTGTGACTGAAGCCGAGTTTAATGAACAGTTTGGTGAATCGGAGACTAATTCAGACTTTGAAGGATTTTAAGACTTTTTAAAGTCTCATATTGTTCTAAGTGACTTGTTTTAAATATCCATTTACTGATTTTAAATATTGACTGTAAATTTGAAGGTGAATACATATTTGTTCAGTTATTATAACAGGTTTTTCATTAGATTACATTAAAATAATTCTAGCAAAACTTTTGAGTGTTTCTTGTGTTGCCAGCTTTTAAAATATAACAGGGGTCAGCAAACTTTGGCTGCCGGCCTGTCAGGGTAAGCCACTGGCGAGTCGGGATGTTTTGTTTACTGGGAGCGTCTGCAGGCACGGAGCCCTTCAGCTCCCTGTGTCCACGGTTTGCCGTTCCCAGCCAATGGGAGCTGCCGCCAGCGGCTTACCCTGACGGGCCGGGAGCCAAAGTTTTCCAACCCCTGAAATATAGGGTCGGCTTATGAAAGGGTCATACAGTTTTTTCCTATTGTTACTTAACCATCTTGTGGGGGTCGGCTTACAAACGAACGGGCTAATGAACGAGTATATACGGTAACTAAAATTATTATTTTCAGACATAAAACTGGATGAAATAGTGTAAATTCTTCTTTAATTTTCAAATGTTGTTGAATTTTAATTAAAGTTCAAGACTTTGTTAGTGAGTATGTGCTGAATGATGTTCTTAACGAGCACTTCATAAGAAAATGCTGTGCCCTTGTCTAACAAGTAAATCAGACAGCAGTATTAACAAGAATAAAGTCTTTTTTTTAGCTATAGCTGTACATAGTCCAGGTCAAAAACTAAATCATTAATCCAGATTTTAATAATCCTCCATGAAAGCTTTTTACTGAATATATTTGTAAATGTTAAAACAAATGTGCATGTTTCCAGTTTGTATCTAGAATTCCATCTTTAACTTGCACTATTGTTGAGGATGGAGTGTTTAAACTCACATGAGGGGTAGTTTTTCATGGCTGTCCCAGTCCTAATGTTTACATGTAGCTGGTGTTTTTTGTTTTTTTAATCACCAAAAGCGCTTTATTTTATTTTTTTTGCGGCAGGTTCTTGGTGAGATTCAGGAGATTGTAAAAACAGGGTTGTGGGTTGGCGACTGTTTTATTTACACCAGTTCTGTGAACAGACTGAACTACTACGTTGGAGGAGAAATTGTCACTATTGCCCATTTGGATAGGTGAGTATCTAGTTTCTATTCATCTGTCAATATATTTTGTAATGCTTTTTAAAACATGTTATGAAACAGTTCAACTTGTCACTAAGTTGTTTGACTTCTTAGCATACACCACTTTTTCTAACCACATTAGTTTAATGTATATTGAGTAACATTGCTGCAATATTCCACTGAATAATAAAAATTGTCTAATAGTACCTATATCACTAGTAAAACTGCAGTAAGCTTTTAGAATAGTAAGTACTGTCTTGCTATCGTAAAATCTACTGAATCTTCTGTTGGATACCTACAGTAGATTAAAATTCATTGTTTTTGTTATAGGACAATGTATCTATTAGGGTATATCCCCAAGGACAACAGGCTTTATCTGGGTGATAAAGAGCTAAACATCGTCAGTTACTCCTTGTTGGTCTCTGTGCTCGAGTACCAGACAGCAGTAATGAGGAGAGACTTTGGTATGGCTGACAAAGTTCTTCCTACAATTCCAAAGGAACAGAGGACCAGAGTTGCACATTTTCTTGAAAAACAGGCAAGAGAACTGTTTCTGCAACTGTAAACAGTGTAAATGTAAACTGTAATTCCAGTTTAACCTTTCAGTTTACTCAGTAGGGAATTCTCACATTACTGCATGCATAACCCACTTATTTTAAAAAAAATTGTTGCTAAATATTATACATTAGTAATTAAGAATAAAGCAGTCTTTTCTGTTCTTTATACAACAGTCAATTTGGCTTGGGAAAAGGGAGATGATTTGGTGTTCAGAATGAAATTTCAAGGATTGCTGATGAACTTAGTAGACTACAATTTGACTCTTGAAAAATCTGTTTAGGGCTTCAAACAACAAGCTCTTGCAGTATCCACAGATCCTGAACATCGCTTTGAGCTTGCTCTTCAGCTTGGAGAATTAAAGATTGCATACCAGCTTGCGGTGGAAGCAGAGGTAAACATAAGATTAATTTTAACAAAGTCAATCTCATACTGCAAAACCTACATGTCTTGGGATGAATTTAACAGAGGGCTAGGCCTCATGTAAAGGGAGGGGATCAGGATCTGGGGATGAAGATCAAATCCTTGAGTCTGCACTCCCTCCCCCCGCCCTCCAGCGACCAGAGGAAACTTTCCTGGAAGTGCTCTATAGGGAATTGAACTCTGTGGGTCGGGAGGGAGGATGTTGTGTTTGCTGTCCCTCTGGAAACCTACCTGAATTCCCTGAGAATACATACTGGGTCAGGGTCATAACCTTACCTTCCAATTTTGTGTGCTCTTACTGGAGCTACAGTGGAGACCAGAAGGAAGGGAAATACAGCCAAGAATTGGTACAGGAGAACAGGACTTCTGAATGGATGGGCACTGACTCCAAAGACCTGCCAGTTGCAAGTGCTGAACACCAAGACCCAACTCCACTTCTAATGCCCAATATAGATGATCTGGCCCATAACTAACTTTGAGGATAGTCTCGATAATTGCCCACTTCAAGTGATCTCCTACAGTATGTGTGAACCTCTTATGCTTAGCAGTCTGCACCAATTTTGATTGATCTTTGACACGCTGGTTATCTTTCCAGGACCTGAAGAGGAGCTTTGTGTAAGCTTAAAAGTTTTTCCCTTCCACCAACAGAAGTTCATAGAATATCAGGGTTGGAAGGGACCTCAGGAGGTCATCTAGTCCAACCTCCTGCTCAAAGCAGGACCAATCCCCAGACAGATTTTTGCCCCAGATCCCTAAATGGCTCCCTCAAAGATTGAACTCAAAACCTTGGGTTTAGCAGGCCAATGCGCAAACCACTGACCTATTCCTCCCACCCATTGTTGATCCAATAGAAGATGATTTATCCACCTGCCTTGTCAGTTGTGTTGTTATTCTGTAATAGGAACAAAGTGTCCATCTTAAAGTTAAGGATGGACAGATAATTAAGTTACAATATGCTTTTTTATTATTAAAAATATTTTGAAAGTCTTAGTTTTAAAACAAAAAATTCCTAAACACCAGGTTTGGCAATACTCTAATGTGTCTTCTTCATCTTGCTTTCCTCCCCTTACTAAAGGGAAGATCCTACTAGTTACCACATGAAAGTCACTGAAACTGTGTGTGTATAAAATAGTCTGTGATGCTACAACTTTGTTATTCTATAGCTGTTATATTGGCATCTTGTGAGGATATTTGAACTCCAACATCCTGAGTGCAGGGGAAAATACATATAAGCAAGCTACAATTATATTATGGAGGTCATGGGATCTGTGACTTCCGGAGATCTCCATGACATTTTCTGCTTCAGCTGCGGGGCTGGAGCTGTCAGCCAGCGGGGACCCAGAGTTCTCAGCTGCCACGGACGGCTGGGAACTCTGCAACTCTGAGTCTCCTGCCCCATAGCTCCAAGCCGCTGCAGGGGGACCCCCATAGCTCCCAGCTGCCACAGCAGCAGGGGCCCCTCTCCCCCAGCCACTGCAAGCCACAATAGCAGTGGGTGCTGCCCTCTCTCCCCCACCCCCGCTATTTTGTCACAGTTCTTTTTAGTAAAAGTCATGGACAGGTAGCAGGCTTGTGTGAATATTTTTTTTAATTGCCTGTGACTTGACAGTGACTTTTTTATTAAAAATAACCGTGTCAAAATCTTAGCCTTACATATAAGTGAAGTTGGGATAGGAGACCTAAACTTGACTGAATTTATACTCCTGCTAATCTAGTTTTCAAAGAAATCTCTTAAATGTGAAAAATGTGGTGTTCTTTAATTTAAATCACTTAAATATGGAAAATCTCTTACAGTCAGAACAGAAGTGGAAGCAACTTGCTGAGCTTGCCATCAGTAAATGCCAGTTCGGCTTAGCCCAGGAGTGTCTGCACCATGCACAGGACTATGGAGGTTTATTGCTATTGGCCACTGCTTCAGGAAATGCTCACATGGTGAACAAGCTAGCAGAGGGAGCAGAAAAAGATGGCAAGAACAATGTAGCTTTTATGAGCTACTTTTTGCAGGGAAAGTAAGTAGCAAACAAAGGCTTGAATTGTGTTCATGTTCACTATTTTTATAATACTCAGACTGAAGTGGACCACACCTCAAATTCCTAATCAGATAGCTGCAACAGGTATGCTACAACAATTGCTTATGTGGAAATAGAATATTTTCCTGTTGTTTAGCTATCCCTTATGAGATGGAAGAGGGCCATCATCATGTGACTAACAGACAGTTCTGACGGGAGTTGTTGCTGTAATGCAATGTAATGTAATTGGACATGCTTATTAGTGCTCACTAGCACGGGTACAGTGGAGGATCTGTCACTTCCATTTTAGGGAGAAGTTTGATAACTGACATCCCCCACACACACTTTTTTTATTTTATTTTATTTTTTTTTAAGCAAAAGGCTGAAATGTGTTGGGGTCATACAGGTATGGAAGCCTTGATATAAACTGTTTGCTCAAAAATTTAAGATGGGGGAAAGGGGGCAGGGCATCATCTCAATCAAGAATGGCAAGAGACTGGTGGCTCTAGACATTTTGCTATGCTCTGGAACTTTCAATTGCTTTATTTTAAACAAATTCAAAAGTGCTCAGTTTTTAACGTGACAAGCTTGATATTTTGAAATTTCTTTTATTAGAAGAAAAATCTTTTTGACATTTCATTACAATTCTACTGTCTGCTAAAACTTTGAGTCTTACAAAGAGCTGTTTTGTTTTGGTAAAATTATAAAGACATTTGAAATTGTTGGCCTTGTCAGAACACTTTACTCAAATCCCTGTACCTCCAGAACAAGATTATAAATCTTAATTCATGGTGCAGAGATGTTAGATCACACAGAATTCCTCTTCAATGAGAGAAGGAAAGAGGTTTCTCATTGCAGCCAATGGCAAAACCACTGTTGACTTCAAGTAGAACTGGGCTTTGTCTTCTGTATCAGCTAAAATAATACTAAAGACACTAGTCTGTAAAGTTCCAATGCGTCATAAAGCATTTTTTTGGTTAGTGGACTGGTAACTTATTTTTGTTCAATCAGCTTGGTATTACTTTGAATATAAGGTTTACCTAGTATTTTTCTTAGTCATATTTGAGAGAGACTAAAAACACCAATAAATTAGATCAATGCCAGATTAATCCTTGGCAGAGCTCTTGATTATAATGTTATACTAGGATTGTATTTGACCATAAAACTTTCTCTCTCAAAATGAAATTCAGGATTAAAGTTCTATGCTACATTTTGCTTACTCTGGGGTGCCTAACAGTTACTGCATGTGGCATTTCAGAAAGACTGATGATCCTACATCTCTTACAATAAAATGTGGTACTTCAGGTTTGAGCAGAAAGACTTAACATTTGGTTTCATTATTTCAGCAACTTTATGATAAAGTATAAATTAAATGCAATACTTGGTTTTCTGTATTTTAACAGAAAAAATAGTATTACTCTGACAACTTCAATATTTAACCTTCCAGGGTTGACTGTTGTTTGGAACTCTTGATTAAAACTGGACGTTTGCCAGAAGCTGCCTTCTTAGCACGTACATATTTGCCAAGCCAAGTTTCAAGGTAACTTTTTAATGTATTTAAAGTAGAAATACGTTCCTTTAAAAACTTTTACTTACAGCATATATCGGTTCGATTAACAGGGTTGTAAAAATGTGGCGAGAGAATCTCTCTAAAGTCAATCAGAAAGCTGCAGAGTCCCTGGCTGATCCTACAGAATATGAAAACCTGTTCCCTGGATTAAAAGAAGCTTTTGTTGTTGAAGACTACGTAAAGGAAACTCATACTGACTTACGGCCAGCTAAGGAATACCCACTTGTCACTGTAAGTAAAATATTTTGTTTTCATTCATATAAATGATTCCATATTTGGAGCTATGATTTTACAATTTTTTACTGCAAGACCTTTCATGTAAGACTATTTTTCTCTGCTGTTTTGTTAGCCAAATGAAGAAAGAAATTTACTGGAAGAAGCAAAAGGTTTCAGACCTTCAGAAGTAGTAGTATCCCAGGTCAGTGATACAACTGTACAATAAAGTTCCAGGATGAGGAGGATTTGGTATTGTGCAATATAGCAGCTGCTCTGGGGACACTACACTCACCTTTAATGGACAAATTATTGCTCTAGTTTGCTTTTGTTACTACTTTGGGTCACGTTTCTCTTGCCCCATCAAAATATACGTTCACAAGTTTTATTGACCTCTTGAGCTATTACTGATAGATCGTTCCACTAGCATAAGTTGCTGTACTTCAGTTGGAGCACTAAAAATAAGTACATGACATCAAAAACAAACTAAGTTTGGTACTGTGAGCTAAACAACGGTTCTTTGATTTCTGAAAGATGGGTGAGAAATTTTTAGTGGTACATCTTGTATGGTTGCTGCATCTGAGTAATAGCTTGTTGCTGTGAGTACTAGTGCAAATATCTAATAAATTTCAGCAGGATGAATCACTCAGAGCTAGGTCTTCCTTTGTGGTACTGTTTCCAACATTCTGAAACTTAAGTGGTCTTAAGAAGTGACGAAAACACATTTTTAATCACATGACTAGATAACTTCTTTGATAGCCAGTATACTACTATAAAATGGCACAAATTGCCAGATGGGGAAAATCAGTTTCCATTTCTCCTGCAATAATCGGAAGGTCTGCCTTTTAAGCAGGTACTACCTTTTGAGAGCTTTAAAACACACAACCAACCAACCCTGTCCCTGAACTCTTAATGAGAAAGAAAATGCTGACCTAGTCCTGCTTTGTGTTCTTCAGACTTACGCCATTAAATGTTCCCCCTTCCAAGCATCCTGTAGAAGGCCCAGGGAGTAAATTGAACCTGCTCCTATAGGCACATTCTTTCTTTAAGCCCCTTCATTTTCAGTTTAAACCAATTTTTACTTTAAAAATCACCAGTTTTACAAAAAGTATTTTTTTTCTGATTTTCACCCTACTTTTATATCATTCAAAGATATAAACTTTTATTAGGAAAATACAATACATTAATCTGTGTATATGCAAAGCTGCCTGTTGAAGTAAGGTTTAGTCTAGAAGATACACATAAACAAACAGGCACAAGTGCGTATATATCTGAACGTACTGATGAATCTCATGCCCACCATTTCAAGTGGTTAGCTAATAGTTTAAAGATAACCAATTTTAGTGTCAAATAACTCCGTCTACAACAGTAAACTGTTTAATCCCCAAATAAAACTTTTAATTTGAATAGAGATGTATTGTTTTCTTAAACTCGGAGGTGGCATTGTTTTGAGTTCTGTTTTAGTTATGCAGCAAGCCACTAATCTACTGAATACTTTTCCATCCTGCTGTCCACCAAAATAAACTGATATTTACCTAGAAAAATTTTTGCACTGATTTTTTGTTGTAGTAAACACTGAAAGTCCCAGGAAAAATAAAAAAATAAAAACCAAAAACAAAGGGCCCTATTTATCTTTTACCATATTAAACCATAAAAACTCACTTTGGAATTTTGTTCTCAATTTATATTTTCAAAGTGAAAATCTGAGAAGCTTCCATGCTGCTGTTGCATAAGTAGTTGCATTATTTTGTGGTCTCAGTTGTAAGTGACTTCCACTTTAACAAGAGAAACCTAAAATCAAATCAAATGTCAGCAACGGGAAAGTGCTGTTCAAAAGCTACTTAGGGAAACCTTAAACTTTAAGTGGAAGAAACAAACCCTTGCGAGAGTATGATTTGCTAGCATCTTTAATTTGGACTTTTAGGCAGAGCTTTAAATAAATATAAAAAGACTTGTGAATATGAAATCTCATTTTCATCTCATAAGGAATCTGAAGAGGAAGAACTAGTTCCATCTCCTAAACCAGTAGTGGCTCCTCCAGTTCCAGGAAACTCTGATCCTCTTCCAATGACAAAAGATGAGAAGGTATACTTCAGTTTCAAAAGTATAGCTCTGAGATGGGAAGGAAAGTTAATCTGAAATTTACAAGTTTTGATATTTTATAATCTCCATCAGGGAAAAAGTGATACATAGATTAGCATATCTGGACTACGTACCGTAAAGTTTCACTTTATTTTGACTAGTGGTAAGTTAGCATCCTCACAGTGTTGACGTTTGCAAAATACCCAGCAGAGAGAGAGTGTGTGTGTGCGCGCGCGCGTGCTCTCACTCAAAACTAGGTCCCACTTAGTCCAGCAGCTGGCCTTTGCTTGTTTATATGACCAGATGCCAGTTCCATATGGAACAGCTGCACATGCAGTAGTAGAGTATGTTTAACCGAAGGTATCTACTCCCAAGTTGCAAAGCAGTTCGTATTTGTAGTTTTAAATTGCAGCAGTATTTCTGGCTGGGTCTAAAGAGCTGCATCAAAGTTTGTTGGCAAACATAACCCTCTAAAGGATTTACAACATATATAACTATAGTAAAATTTCTTTCTTCCTGGCACCTAACCCTAAATGCTTTCCTTCTCTCAGGCACTACTAGACTTGGATGATGATTTGGATAACTTGGATCTGGAGGATATCGATACTACAGATATCAATCTGGATGAAGAGATCTTGGATGACTGAACTTGATTTTTATTTGTGACCAAATCCTTTAATTCATAATTGTTACACAGAGGAATTACATTTATATGGACTACACAGATTGGAAACTAGCTTGATTTTTATACTGAAGCTGGACAACATAGGTATAGTATACCTAGCAGTTGCACAAAGAGAATTTTCAGATTGCAATGTTTTCAAATTCATTTAGTGTAGCAACTAAGCAGCTCTCCTTAAGCTGTGTCACATTTATCAAGAGAAACTCAAAATAAAGTGTTTTAAAGAGACACTTAAGAATTCCACTTGTATTCTTGCTTACCCCCATTCCAGGGAATAATGCTTATAGTGAACATTATATTGAGGTAGTAAAGCAACTATGACCTACAGTCTGAGTGGAGTGAAAGGCAAGAAAGCTAGGATACAATTTCCTTGTAGCACTGTTTAGCCTACATCTGTGTGTGTAACATGCTACTTTTTCAGGGGAGCTGAGCATCTATAACTACAGCACATGGTCCTAAATTTTAGGAGTATTTATCTTCAGATGGGCACCTACAGTGTTAAACAGCAGTAGCACACTTTCTAAAGTGACAGGTATCTGGTAAAACTGGATTAGTTACCCCCAGCTGCCTTAAGTGACTTAATACTCTAACCACTGCCAGGCAACTGCCTATGAAGGTTTAATTGAATAAACTTTTGTCAACTTACATCAGAGGTCACATGTAGCTTCACTGCATTAAGGCTTAGACATATGGGGCTGACACCTAATTCAAGTCAGAGTCCTCTACCACCCAAGTCTTTAAACTAACTTGTGCAAAGAATTAAAACCACTCTACTTGTACTCATCCTGTCTTGAAATAAGATAACTTGAACACAAGTTTAACATGAAATTGCATGCAGAAGTGTCCCTTTTCAACTATATCAAGGCATTACATAGTAGTCATCCTCTCTCATACTTAGTGACTGCATTCACCTCTTCCACTTGTAGTCTGGTGCTTATCTAAAGGCCAGTTTTTCAAGTGTAAAAACTGCTTGTTTTAGTACTGACCTGTTTAGCAAGAGTGACATTTTCTAGTTGCAAAATTCTTGTAAAGGAATTAATTTGCATTACTCTAGTGATTCCTTGGTAGCTACAGTTTGCTATTTTATGAAGAGTCCAAACCACATACCTCAGTTACTTGTTTATTTTAGAATTTTATACAGCATTAGCAACATTTTGTACTTATCACATGTTAACATAATAGAATGCTTGAATGTTAACACTTTATTAAATAAGCCCTTTTTATTTCACAAAGCTGCTGAACTAGCCGGTGCTTCTTGATAAGCCTGAAGAGCCAGCTCTATATATCCTACCTTCTTTGATTCTGTTTTCATGAACACCTGTTAAAGACAACAGCTATTAAAATAGTGACACATGGTACAGAAGAATTTATTGTACAATTTCTGATGTATAGAATGAGAATATTCCTTGTGGCATCTCAGCATAACAATTTTAACAAAGTAAGTGGTAAGTCTGGTGTAGTGATTTCTTATACATACCTGCTAGTTAAAGAGTTCCTTAAAGGCTTTGTGGCTAGCTATAAAGAAAGTAGGTATCAATGTGAACCTCACCTTCCCATTATTATATCCAAAGCAGAAAAGTGTACTATACCTTGATTAAATCTACTCCATGAGCTTCCTGTTCTTTTGCTTCTTTTGCTGATTGACAGTCAGGATGGAGCATATGATAGAGGTTGATTAAGCATGTAGCATCATCCATTCTAAAAACAAGACTCATTTCTCAGTTTTTTGGAAATATCGTAGCTTTGTGTTAGTACAAGCGTATGAAAGTACACCTCTACCTTGATATAACATGAATTCGGATATAACACAGTAGGGCAGGGCTGCGCACTCTGGTGGATCAAAGCAAGTTCAATATAACGCCATTTCACCTATAACACAGTAAGATTTTTTGGCTCCTGAGGACAGTGTTATATCCAGGTAGAGCTGTATGCAGCCCATAACTAAGATCCAAGCAAAAATCTGAACACCTCTCCACAGTGTCACATCTTGGCACTCTTTATGCTATATGCAGAATAAGAACGCTAAGAGATGCTGACCCATGCTATGTCTTGTTTAAGGCCTGTGCTATTAGTCCCTCCCTAGCATGTTTCAAAATACACAATGGCTCTGTATTCTGCCAAAAAGGGAATATTTGTCTTCACCAATCCTGGAGTGTAAAATGGCTAACAATCCAGCCAGTTTCCAGAGCTTTTTCTGATCTAATGTTAGTTTCCCTACTGAAAATAACTGACTCATCTCCCAAAATTTAACTCAAAAGCAAATGAGAATTAATCATGTTATCTACATTTAGGACTACTTATCACCTCTCAAAAAAGCAGCAAAAAGGGAAGACAGTTTTTCAATAACTGGAGTTCTTCAAATAGATTCCCTTTAAATATTTTCCAGTCCTACATAATTGATTTTAAGCCTCAGACACTACTGAACCTTAAAAAAAAAAGTCGTATTTTCCCAAGATGAATTTCAGTGAATGTGGTAGCCACTATCACAAGAATCCCATCTCCCATTTAAAACTAGGATTTTAGATGGTACAACACACTCTCCAGTTCCCACTGTTTCACTTGTCCATTAAAATCAAGTATCAGTCACAGTCATCTATTTAAGAACATTTATCAGCTATCCCTGGTCTTGCACCAACATTTCCATCAAGGTTGTTTTGGAGCTATTAAAGATTGATTTGTAAATATTAAAAGTGTATTAATTAGCTACTTAAAACCCATACAGTAGTCTAGTGGTAGCTGAAACTGCTCTGCTGGAATAATTTTTTTTCTGGTGTTCAAGAAAGTGGCTGGGATGAGACATATTTAGTGCAGGTGCTCTTACACAAGTAAAATACCTCACTAAGGCCCTGGAAACTCCAGGGCAAAAAACCACCAACTGCCCAAAAAGTCAGTCATTGTATACATACTCAAATTGGGGAAATAAGGACTAATGATACAGTAACTCCTCACTTAGTCGTCCTGGTTAACATTTCATTGCTGATCAATGAGAGAACGTGCTCTCTTATAACCTTGTTTGGCAGCCACCTGCTTTGTCCACTGCTTGCAGAAAGAGCAGCCTGTTGGAGCTAGCTGATGGGGGCTTGGAACCAGGATGGACCAGCAGCCCCCCTAAGTTTCCTGTGCAGCAGCCTATCAATTGCTGGCAGTTCAGCTGTCCCTCCCCCCACTGCCAGAACATGTGCTGCTGCTGCTGTCCTCTACCTTGGAGCTGCTCCCAGGAGCCTCCTGCTTACTGTGCAGGAGGCAGGAAGATAGGGGCTAATGTCAGGATGTCCCCCTGATCCCCCGCTTACCCCATCTCCATAGAGTGGAGGGAGCGTGCTGGCAGGAAGTGCTGTCTCAACTTGATCTACTTAAAAAGGCAATGTACTTAGAGTGGGGTCAGCATACTTAAAAGGGCAATGCACATCTCTCTCACACACGGGGTGAGTGTCTGTTTGCCCTGCTGTCTCCCCTCCCTCCATTTGTGCGGTCTTGTAGAGTGAGAGGCTACATTAACAAAGTGTTAACCCTTTATACTCAGTCATTTGGTGAAAAAAAGTCCCTGGAACCTACACCCCCCCCCCACCCCCATTTACATTATTTCTTACGGGGAAATTGGATTCGCTTATCATTGTTTCGCTTAAAGTCGCATTTTTCAGGAACGTAACTACAACATTAAGCGAGGAGTTACTGTATTTCATTTTCACCCTGTCCTCCTAAAGTATAAGGCCAATCCTAAAATTCCACTTAAAATCATGAAGTGATCAGTTTACAAAATATATATGTAATTTAAGATTGAGTCTTAACACTCCACTGAATTAAAATGTGCTAAAGGTTATAAAAAAATAAAAATAAATCAATTGCAGTTTAAGTTAAATTCTGCAGGAATTAAGAGGTACAGATCAGTATTGGCTCAATACAACCCATAACTTTTTTGCATGTATATCCATTCGCATAAGCCAAAAAAATCACAGCAAAAAAATTTTGCAGTAGGTATTTTCATGACTATTTGAAATTAGATTTGATTTTAACTGTGTTTTTATGCTAGGGAAACAAAGCAAAGCTAGTGTCCAAACAGGACTTACAAATTTCTCTGGATCATATCGATTAATAAGCCATCTGTCTTCTTCCTATTTACCAGATACCACACCATTCCTCCGAAGTGTCTTGTTGAACGTAGAAGATGATAGTTGGCATGTTTATCAATGTCCTCATATGTCTGATGATGAACCTACCCAGAATGAGATTTTAATTTACAATCCTGATAACCTCCAAATCTTGCTAAACTGCCAGAAGAGTTACAAAGATTTAGAATAGTGCTGACAGCACACAGATGGCCTCAAAGCAATGTCAAACCTAGGTTATTGTATGTAAAAATCTTAAATTTTAGACAACAGCACATCACATTGGGAGATCCCAATTCTAGGGGGTAAATTAGAGGGAAATACGGTCACAGCTAACATACTTTCATTATTGTGGGAAATGTTAGTCTGAAGCCTTCAGTCTACTCCTTAGCTATGCTCAAGTGACAGGATCTACACACTAAGCTTTAAGGAGGAAAACAGAAAGCAGGAAGGAAGCAGAAGATGTATGCTTGTCATATATCCATGCAAGGAACCAGTAGAGCACCTGCAGTCTCAGACCTCAAAGCTTGAATAGATGCTGTGAGGTAAAACGTGTTAATTTATGAATTTTTTTTTTTAGAAGTCTCAATTTGCATTTCAACAATATCTACTTAAACTTATTTTTCACACTATATCCCAGTTTGAACAATAAAAACAGACAATTGCGCTTTGGTTTGTAAATCAGTTTCACTTCCAAGTTCTGACATAGCAGGAAGCTTCAGTGTTTGGGTTATGGGAATGGTTTAACATGGATTTCAAGGAACTACTGCTGTAGTAAGATGCTATTCAGCATAAGTAAGGGTGAAAATCAAGCTTAAAATGACTAATCTTATGGTAGAGTACAGGAAAGGTTATTAAGAAGGGAAACAAACTACTAAATATGGAACTATGTTCTCGTACATTTTCAATGAACGCTAAGAAGTTTTACAACTATATCGTGCACTTGAATTAAGAATACAGGTTCAAAGAGTTAAACAAAATGGATAGGTAGGCTATTAAATTCTTCTTTATTCCAACTAGGAGTTACTGAGCACATGGCAATTTTGAAAATCAGGCCACCGGCATAGCTTAAAGTTAGGAACTAATCTTTATAAATCTTAGCTTGTTCCCCTAAATAATTTCAAGTAGTTAGCACTAACAAAAGTACCATTTACTTTTTTCACTTGGAATCTTAAGGTCAATATGTGTCTGCTCCAGTCAAATTTTGTAAACATAAGACAACTCCACTCATTTGAGTAGTCTTACTGAAGTCAATGGGACTATCTATACAAGTAAAATTACACACATGCCTAACTGTATGCAGGAGAATATTTCTTAATGTTAAGAACAGTATAAAATTAAAAACATTCATATTTCAAAGCTTATATTTTTGCTGGTTCATTGCTCACTATGGTTAAGTGACACTAACTTATATTTTCCCAGAAAATTTTTGTAGCTACTCTTATCACTATAAGAAGTTAAGAGATTTTTAGTTGGCTTACTTTGTGTACAACGGAGAGAAAAATATTGACAAAGAACCTATAGCTGGGGTAAGTGTAGTATCTGAAGCCATTTTTAACGCATTACATTCACTAGATATCAAGTTGGTAGTGTCCCTTTAACTTACCAGAATTTTGTACATGTTATACAGTTTTGTATGTGTTCACTAAAGTTGAATTTATTTTGAAATGGTAAACATCTTGTATAGCAGTGTTACAAAAAAAGGAACAGTTGCATAGATAATTTACGAAGTGAAAATATAGAATAAGAGGTAGATACAATTGGACAGTGATTTTTTTTGTTTTCATAACATGCTGGTCTCATAGAAAAAGACATTAAAAGAGCCTTATATTTTCCAGCTCAATTTTTATATCTATGCAGCTATTAAAAGGCAATATGATTTTTCAATAGCTATGGTCCACAGAGAATTCATACGCTCATACAAATGAAAACCTACAAGTTGTCATTGGCATTAGCCTTCCTATTAGAAATAATAAAATGGACTTACTCTGATATAGTTAGCTGAATCTGGCTCAAATTGTGCAATACACAGGTTAAGTACATCTTCATGACGGTCCTCACGAAACACAGTCTAAAAAGATAGTTGTAATAAAATTTATTCCTGAATATTACCCCTTATTCTAAAATGAAGAAATTAAACAGCCAGTACGTTTCTATTTTAGGTAATGACACCTCTCAGGAAATGTCAACAGGTACAAGGCCAAGAATGACAAGCCACCTGAGTGCAAGAATTGCCCTTAGATTCCTTACTGCAGTAATGAAATGAAATATATAAAAGTAAAGAAAAACAAACAATTTATTTGCCAGAAGCCACATTGCATTTTCAGCTTCAGGTCAGGCACGTAGTCTTATCAATACACACAGTAGTTAAGTGTGGACCTGTAACATAGACAACTCATTCCATATGATTCATCTGCACAAAATTTGTTTGTTCCTGACTACCAGAGCTGTAAATTTATGAAAGTGAGCCATGCTGATAAGTATCTTTAGTACCTGCATGCACAC